GTTTAATTTAAACTACTTCAACGCATAGCTCATATGTTTCTTTCATATATTCATGACAATGTGCCAATATGTTTTATTTTACGAATAACGTTACTTTTTAACTGAACACGTCAACATTTAAATTTTTATGATGTATAGTTAGCAAGGTGATTTCAAAGTTCGTTTGATTACTGCTGGTGAATGGCACCAAAACAAGGTAAGGGAGCGGATATTGCATTAGTTATAAGCGATTTATTTAAAACATTGCAAAAACGTTCATGAAATATGTTAAAAAAATTCTGTCGAAAAATATTGTATTGCACAGTCCTGAACTATCAGAAAAATGTCGGTAAAATTATGTTTCTGTATTTAAGGCGAAAAGTATTCTTGTTATTATATGGTTTAAATAATTTAATTATACGGTAATTAAGTCTAACTGAGTCTCAATAGTTGTTTGAGAAATGTAAAATAATGTACATATGTATATTTAAACCGTGATTTCATTCTAAACTAAATATCATTAAATATAGGTGTCATTATTTTCACTATAACAATAGGTTCTAATTATCTCAAACTTTTTCAGAGTTGTACTTATAAAAGAAATCTAAATAAAATACGTGTGAATAACTAGCATTTTTCAATTTACGTATTCAGTATTCGTCTTAAGTGTCTTTAATTTTAATGATCGAAAATTACAACCGCTTACATCAATGAGTACGGACCCACCATATTATATTAAGACATAGTATTTTTTTAATACAAAATGCTTTATTCTGAATAAATCATTATTACAAAATAAAACTTTTTGAACGAAATAATGTACTGAAAATTAAGAAAAGTACTCATCAGCATCTTCATAAATATATTTGAAGAGTACCTATTGAGTAGTTTTAAAATAAGTACATTTTAGATTAATATAAAGTTTCATTATCTTTCTATTTCAAAACAAAACAACAGATACACGAATTATAAAATTAATAAATTGTATTTGAAGTAAGATTGTAATATTTTTTAAATAATATTACATTTAAATATGATATGATTATAATCATGAATACAAAATCTTATAAATATTAATAAAACGTGTCTGTACATTCGTACTAACCTAGTTTTCGTGGTAATAAATTCTAAATTAATCAAATTATTTCATAGACAGGCTTTAATTTACATTTGAATTAGAATAAACAATGTCTGAAGTAATGAATTGAATCCAAACATTGTTCGTCATGAAGCTTATATTATTATATAAACTTATCAGCAATGAGAAAAAATGGGGGTATCGGTTTAAGTTCAATAACAAATACACGGAATCCATTTTAGCGTTCGCTGACGATCTCGCAATACTGACACGTCACCCCAAACACTGTCAAGTACTATTAGATGAAGTGGATAAATTCTGTGAGTGGACGGACGGATTGAGGACAAAACCAAATAAATGTCACTGTCTGTGTCTTGGTAGGCGGAATACAAGATACACCTCATACGATCCGGGACTATCGATAGGCGGTCAATGCGTTTCTACGGTTACGGAAAATGCACCATTCAAGTTTCTCGGTCGTAAGATTGATAATATAGGCCGTACTCCATCTTTAGAAGGGATAGTAGATAGCTTTTTAAATGATCTCAACAAGGTAGATAGCAAGCAGATCAGTAACGTAAAAAAAGCATGGATCTACGATAATTACTTAACTTCACGTTTGAATTGGCCTTTCCTCGTCTATGATTTTAGTAAAACCCTTTTATCTAAATTAGATGCAGGCGTCATAAAGATGTTGAAGTTGTGGCTCGGGCTCGCGCTAACGGCTGACTCATCGGCTTTATTCAGGGATCGTAATAGTTTTGGGATGAATCTAAAAAGACCATCGGAGCTCTACAAACACCTAAGAGTTTCCAAGAGACATATCCTGGGAAAATCCCATGATGACGTCGTTACATCACTCCCAAAAGACAATGATGCCCCAGAGCTAGAGTCACGACTTCAATTCCATAAACAATTTATGATCGGAGCGCAAAATAACAGAGTAGGGTTAGGATCAAGTAGGAAAGTCCAAGATACGGATATATTGAAGTCTTTTATTCGGCAAGACGAGAACGATAAATACAAGATCCATGCAATGAGTTTAGAAATGCAGAACGAGTGGTTAGACATAGGAGATTTTTGCATTCCACTAGCACTAAAATGGCGCACTCTAATTCATGACTGGTCGCCAGCCTTGCTAAAATTTTATCTCAATGCGTTCCAGATGACTCTCCCAGATCAGAGTAATTTAGTAAGATGGGGTAAAGGTACCGAAAAAACTTGCTATATCTGCGGAAAGGCAGTTGGAACTGCTAAGCATTTGCTGGTGGGGTGTAAGGTTCTCCTGGACAGCGGTCAATACTCGCGTCGTCACGATAGGGTTTTAGAGATCATACGTGAAGCGGTTAGTCTTTCGGTAGCCAGAGCGCAAAGGGAAATAACCACAAACGAGCGATCAATAGGTTTTGTGAGAGAGGGCACCAGGGCTATAAAATCAAACGTCAAGCCTTACTCTATCCTTAAAGCGGCTTCGGATTGGACTATCATGATGGATACGTATGAGAAACAATACAAAATCCCCGAGGATATTTGTGCGTCGGCCTCCAGACCAGACATATTTCTATATTCGCGTATTTTAAAGCGCGTTGTGATGATAGAGCTTACGGTGCCTTGGGAAACCAACATCCCCAAAGACCATGCCATCAAGGTCAATAAGTATTACGAGCTCACTAACGAACTAACTCGAAATAGGTTCGTCGTTGATTTGTACGCGGTAGAGGTGGGAGCGAGAGGTATAACAGCTAAATCTCTCTATAACCTACTAAAAGACTTGGGCCTGTCCAGAACTAACATTAATTCATTCTTGGAACGTACGTCGAAGGCAGCCCTAGTAGGTTCTTTTCAAATTTGGTTAGGTAGGGAGAGGAACTTGGACAGTGGAGGTGAGCGTATAACGCGCGTTAGTTAAGGGGCCCCTTAAACCTACACCTGGGTCGCAAGTCCCAGGCACTGTTGAAGCTCCTCTCCCTGCAACGCGATGGACCCGGCACCCGCACGGTGAATCCATTGAATGCTAAGAGGTTTCGTCTCTTGTTGTTTTTATAAATATTACATGCAGGTCGCGTGCCAGATTATAAAGATGTGTTGTACAAATGACTTATTGTTTTACAAATTAAGTTGTATAATTTGTATAAATATATAGCACTGCAATCTTATATAAAGACACGATTTTTCGTGCAAGATTACTCGCTAATTCGGTATTCGCTTATTTGCTTGTTAAATGGATATAAAGTTATCCTTTTTAATGATATGTGAATTATTCTAATTTAATTGAAATATCGTCGACTTTCATATCTCTTCTTTGGCCTTGTATTTTATAAATAAAACGAGGCATAGTATATTTTAATTCCTTATCAAGTAGTATAATTTCTTATTGAAGGTTTTCAACTAACACGGATGTTAGGAGACAATGATGCGTTTAATGTCGTGTTATTAGAGCGGGCTGATTTAATAGACAAAAGAACTAGTATGTGGAACAATTCATGTCAATTATAAAGACAGGAAAAACAAACAAATAAGGATGGTCGAATTTGGTCGTTTTACGAAAATATTACGACTTCCTTAATTTAGGATACGTTTGTTTAGTATTTTTTCTTTTTATTTTACGTACTTGAAAATATATTATTTGCGAGTATATTGTCAATGATTTTTATGGATTTTATCATTTATTTAACGTTATAATATTGTATTTTTTTTAAATTAATATTTTCTGTATAAAATCTATTAAGCTATTTGAAACAAGATAAGAATGCCAATGATTGAGGATTGTTAATCTATTTTTAATCACGTATTTAATGAACCATATGTAACAGTTTCTTTTTTAATGTAAAAAATATTTATATTGTGCAGTCATACACAACCATGTACGCATATTATGTCGCTAATCAAGCAACGTGATTATATTCGCGATGTTAATATGGGTAGATCATCTTTGAAGAGTTTTATTTATACTGTGAGTTTTGAGTAAATTTTTTTAAATATAAGTAAAGTATATATTTAAAGTTTTTTTGTAAATCAGTACTGATTAATTTATATTATATATTATAATAGAAAATAAGTAAAATATAAATCATGTATGTAGTACTTAAAATATTTTTCTATTTGTTTAAACAGAAAACATTAGTTGGACTTTGAAATATGCTTTCCTGACAGAAATGGTCACGAAGCAATTAATATTAACATTTTAATAAAATAAGATAAGACAAATATGAATTAATAATAATAAACAAATAGAACGAGGTGATCAACTAGTTTTAATTGTTTGTGGATGTTATAAGTTTCATGTGCAAAGAAATCTATAAGGGAATAATTTCACTTCTAAAAATTATACCTATACTTTTTAATTTTTTTTTTTGTTTTCACTGAACCAGCGAAAATGCTAGAACTATTAAGTTTATTTTCTAACATTTTATTTACTTTTAGTATATTTTTAAATTTTACACGTACGGATCTGTCGGTTACGTTTAGCTAGAAAGAAGACTTTTATCTTGTTTTCTTGATCGTTAAATACCAACCGGCATTTCAGGTCCGCAAATGAGAACCGCATTAAAATTAAAAAGGAGTATCTAATAGGGAAAATATATGTACATTCAAGATCTTAAAAATAAATAACCGTTGCGTATCTAAATGGAAAAAGGATTTATCAAAATATTTTTAAATATTTTAAAACTATCTTATCTATTTTAAAATTATTATAATGTTTGCTGACCTTATAAAATAGGTGCAAACTCATAAAAACTACTATTAAGACTTTTAAGACTTTTCTAAATTACTATTAAGGTACTATTAAGACTTTTCTAAATTTTGTCTCAATTATTAAGATTTGTTTACAGGATTCGTCGATTTAAATTAAACTATTCCTTTTAAAAATAATCCTATGAAATTCAATCTCATATTTTATTCTATCTTGAATAAATATTTCTAACATATAAAATTTACTTACTTTTGAAGAGTCCCATTTTAAAACACTTTCGCATGAAGTCTTGAAAGGTCAATTTGTTTACTTCACCCATTAGAATTATTCATATAAATTTATAAAATACTATAAAATAATATTTTTCACAAATTATATTGTACGCGTGTTGTCTGTCGCTGCGGACTATTGAGAGCGACTAAAGCGCAGCCGGCAAAGTACCCGCTAACGCGTCCTTACTCATTGCCACACGAGTTTAAACGTGCAAATCGTAGATGGATCATTCAAGTGAATTTTCACTCTTCGAAGCGTCTAATAACATCTTTATCACATATACAATTACTATGATAAAAGCAATGGACGAGATAATACTTTTATATCATTAAATATACTACGCATGTTTTCATTCAATTTAATTTAATTTTTTCGAAAATCAATCTTGTTTCAGATTGAAATATGTACGTCTTCACAATGACAAAGCAATCATCATTTTCTATAATCCATCAATGATAGATAAGAGTTATAGGAGCAGATAAGAAGTTATATGTTCATTGTATATAAATATTGTATGACAATTTAAGCCTGTTTTCCTTTTTTGTTAATGACGTCATTATTTACGTATATTTCTTACAATAACATTCAATGAAAAACACAAATCATGCTATATGCCATAATCCTTCTAATATTTTGAATGAAAAACAAATTGTGATAGATATAATTATGGTATTCTTTAACAAATTAAATTTGAATGAAAATATTGAAGTTCAATAAAATTAAATAGCTCATACGTTATATGAGGTGTTAATAATTATTTCTGTCCATTTTTTTGTGCACCCTGAGTAAATACAGCCTAACAGTTGTATATTATAAAAAATAAACATGAAACGAAGCACATTCCTTTAAGTGTACATTATTTTCATTCTTTGAAATCAATTCTAAAATCCACGTAGCGAAGGTGTTGCTAAAAACAGTTAGTATTCATTAAACATCGTTTTCTTTTAAACCAAAAAAAAAATTAAAGTCATTGAAAATATATTACAGTTCCGACATAGAACAAAAGCATCAGTCAATGAATACACACGTTTGGCGTTACTTTTTGTTGTGCTTTGTGTATTAATTAGAAAATACATATATGCGTGGCTAGGTCATTAACATAGGCCATAGAATTTTGAAATTCATCTTGTTTGAAATACATTCAACAACTTTGTTTATAACAATAAACTACTGTTATCTGTGATGTACTTTGTATAAATGGAAATATAATTTCCAACCTTTCTGTGTATAAAAAACGATAATATAAAAAGATGTCAATCTGCTAATGCAATGCAAATTTGCTGTCAATTGTAATTGTAATATTATATCATCTATAAAATTACCGTTAACGACGTTTTTCACAAATAGTAGAGAATTAGTTATTGTTTTCTTAAAAAAAACACGAGAAAGTGGAATGTAAGGTTGTGAGGTATAAGTTTTTCAGTGCAAACAGTTATTGTGATGAGCTTGGAGGCCAGGACTATTAATAATAAAAACGTTATTAAATATTGAGGTTAAATAGAAATACTTTTATCAGAAAATATATTTTAAAATCTTGAATGAAATATTAATTAACGAGTCGAAGATAATAGTTGACGTTTTGGTTTGTAAACAAAACGTTTGAACTAAAATAGTATTAACGTATTTGTAATACTGACTCTTGTTCTATATAACTGGGTGTCGAATGATAACAGAAATAATTAAACTGCTTTCATTTAATCAAAACAGTTTGGATATTACTAGTTTTACTCGTGCGCAAAATAACACATAAGTCTTGTGAAGACGATAAAAATGTTACATTATGTATGTTATAGCCTCATTAAAGAGTACGTGGTAAATGTAAGTTTTCGATAAAGACAAAACCCAGTGTATTATATAAGATAAAAATTAATATGTTAATGTTTGTCACATTCGTATATAAAAATAGTTATTAGGTTCAAAATAGTTTGACATTTAAGTAAGGTTTTGTTGCTTTAAAATTTTTCTTTTATTTGTATTGTTGATTAAAAAGTTAATATTTATTAAACATGTGTTTATCATAGCATAAATGAAATACTAATATACGTTACATTTTTAGGACTAAGAAGTTTGTTTAAAAACGCTATGTATAATTTTAGCTTCAGTGATAATAAATATACCTACGTACATTATATTAAAAATAATATATAAAATCTTTCGTGATTAATTAATTACTATTTTAAGATCGGCTTCAGTTTGTTTTAACTCAAGTTTGTATCGTCGTTCTAATAAAGGGGTGATTCCAGGTTTTTTAAAATAAATTTTAACACATAGTGTTAACGTATGTAGCTACTTAGGATGAATCAAAAACAGTAAACGCTTTGTGTAAAGTTATATGAAGCAAACAAGTAATTATCATCAAAATAACATGAAAGAAAGATACCGTTTATTAATACGCATCGGTTTTATTTTTTAAGAAAACCTATAAAAGATTAAATTGATTAAAAAACTATGAAAAATATAAATTTAATAAAATTAAGATTGACATTTTTTTATTAGAGAGGGTTTGGCAGTCGGAATAAAAGACACCTTAAGGAAAATTAAAAAATTATTTTACTCTACGTCGAAGGTCAGCGACAAATATTAAATAATCTTTTTTATCAAAAAATATAAGAGAATAAATTCAAAGAATAATAATTAATTTTATTTATTAATATAAAAGTTTTAACTTAAATTATATTTATCAAAAACAAGTCTTAAAAATATTTACATCCATATATAAAATATTTATATGAACGCCTAAAGTTTTATCTGTAGTTTTCTTTTTCTTGTGATATTGCTATTTTATCGTTCAAGTAAAAATTTATTATGCCGTTTTACTTAAGTATTAGATTGGTTATAATTTATAAGATAATATCATTGAATTACTTTACAACATGAAAATTTAAATACAATTGTGTTTATAGGAACGCAATGTATATATTATTAAATAATAATACTATACCGCAGTTTCTCAGCGATATTTTGTAATTTTCGTTATATTGTTATAAAAAACTTATAATAAAAACTTAAAAATTTGTCACCTTTGTAAATCATAATAATAAGGACAAGGTGTGGTAATCTTACACTTTGTTTTGTTTATATATACATATAATAAATAATAATATATAATATGTACTAGGGAGAAATTTATTTTTTTAAGCTTAGCTTATAATATTGTGTCATGCTTTATATCAATGTTTTAGCGACAACAAGGGCAGTAAAATTCCTTTTCTTTGTTACACCTCTCATATTTTAAGTCTATTATTTATAGAAAAGTATATTATTGAAAAGGGACCCCTTGTATGAAATATTTATTGACTTTACTATAAGTTCTTTGTTGCTGGATTGTTTATTTGCATTTTATTAAAGGTCAATTAGTGTTATGACACAATTTATCGTAAAAAATTGCAATGTAAATATTGAGAAAGGAATCTAAACACTGACATAGAAATGTGATAAATAAATATAAGGTTTGCCAATAGGAGATAATAACGGCTTTATTAAAGATTTTTATAGATAAAAATTTCATACAGGATTCCTTGTATTATATTAATCGAACAATGTTGAGTATCAAGGTTCATTATGACTACGTTCATGTCCTACAAACAATGATATTGGTTATATCACATAATTCATATTTTGTCCCATTACAGGTAAATAATATTAGATTTTAATGTTTATCGTAGCCATTTGCCTAATAGTAACTTTAGATTTAATTGTATTTTATGTTATTTTAATGAGGTTTTACAGAAATGTTTAATGTTTGAGGTGATAAACATTGAACCTTTATGTTAATAAATAAGGCTGGAAATATTAAAATTAATTACCAATAAGTTTGATCGGATGCTATAGTTTTATAATTTATATTATGTTGAGGAATAATCTATTTGGCCAAATACAATGTCATAAAAAAAACAAAATCTCTTATCCGTAGTGTTATTGAATAAATACAATAGATGTGAACAGCAGTTTTAAAGCAATCCATCTTTTAAAACTTTTTTTCTGGTCTTCCAGTGAGCAAGATTACTTGAATCACAGTAATCGAAACCTTAGGTTAATAAAGTTAATTTAAAGCAATATAGGAGTTTAATTGATAAAATAAATGTTTATCAACTTTTGCTCGCGACTTCGTCATCGTGAACTTCGGAATTATTTGCATACATAAATATACGGTGTGCTAAAACTATAGTAATGATAATTAAATAACATTTTTTTGTATTCATTGTTACAGTACATACAGTGCGTTACCAGTTTATTATTCCTAAATTGGGCTCATTACCCTATTAACGTAGGGTATTCAGTGAGAAACGAGAAAGGCTTTATATGTACTGTGTTCACAAACATAGAGGAAGCATACTGTTCTGTTTTGTGCAATTCAATTCAATGGCATAATATTTTCATAAATTTTCGTACTTATAATATTAGTAGGATAAAAGGATATGAATCGCTTGTCAAAACCTATTAACAACAACAAATTGAGACTTGTTTAAGATTTGATTCATTTTTTCTAAAGAATTCTCCAAGATCTAAAGTATATAGCATTAAATATATAAATTAAGACGATGTAACCTGCAATATACCTCTTAAACCTTTTTTAGTAATTACTATATTTTTATAGAGTTACATAATATAAACGCGAATCAGAGAAATATAGATTTCAAGAACCTGAACGATAGGTTTAATATAAAATGAATAATTTTGAAAAGATGTCTCTCGGTTCGAGTATAAAGAAAAATTTGGTTTGGTTACATGGATAATACCTTTTTTATATATAGATAAAGAGTAGCGCTTTTAAAAGTGCTAGAATGAAGAAAAGACTAATATTAATTGATTACCAATCTTCTTGAAATTAGAATTATATAACTGTTGTGAATTCCCATCTAAATATTATATCTTTCAATGAGCAATTCTTGTGTATATATAATAATCACGAAATCGGCTCCAACGATTTTCAATCGATAAATCGATCTAGCTAGAATCACTTCCTGACATCTATTGGCGAATAATAATACTGCATACTTTTTGCTTTTACTAATTGCTTCAACGACACAGCAGCAGATGGCGTTG